TGAAATGGACAGATTAAATGTATTATTAAATAAGCCTATATATGTCGGTTTCACTGTCCTAGATTTATCCAAGATATTTCTTTACGAATTTCATTATAATTATATGCAAAAAAAATTTCAAAGCCTCAAATTATTGTATACTGACACAGATTCTCTAATTTACCACATTTTTGATGATAATATATACACACATATAAAGAATGATATTCATAAATTTGATACATCAAATTATGATCCCGATAACGTTTACAATATTCCTTTAAGAAATAAGAAAGTTTTAGGATTAATGAAAGATGAAAACAATGGTAAAATAATGCATGAATTTATTAGTCTGAGATCGAAAATGTATACTTTTAAACTTTACATGAACTTCTTTCTTTTACAAAAAAATTCGCAACAGAAATCTTTAAACAAAATGGAAAGTATGGAAAATAATAAGGAGAGTGATTTAAATATTACAAAAAAAGTAAAAGGAATAAAAAGTTCAGCTCTAAAGAAAATTACTTTTGATGATTACTTTCAATGTTTATTTAATAAGACTATTTTGGAAACAAGTCAAAATTTAATAAAATCTGAGAAACATCATGTCTATAGTGTTACACAGAAAAAATTTGCCTTGAGTCCTTATGACGATAAAAGAATGATTAATTATATTTACACCGACACATTACCATGGGGATATCATAAAACTGAAACAATAAATTAATAATAATTATATATAATCTTCAATAATTTTAATTACCTTAAACCCCCCCACTATGATTCATTTAACTAATACTATAAATGTAAGTCTACATTATTAAATTTTTGTTTTAACATTTTCATAACAAAAATTTATTTTTTTTATTTTTGATAGATGAAGCCAGTAACAGTCCTTCCTCATCCAGTACTTCAATGCCGCGACCAATTATATTTGGGGAATATGCACTTTGTCCATACAACCAAAGTCACCAGGTGTTGAAGTCGCGCATTTTTAATCATATGTTGAAGTGCAAAAAGAGAAAAGAAAATTATAATAGCGACTTCAACGAGGCATTGAAGACCAATCAATTAGAGCCAGCATTTGAATACGAACCACCGCCGCCGTTCCTTTCAAGAAATGAAAGGAAAAATTGGCGTAGGTACAACGCTGGTCAATATAAACCAAGAAATTAGGTATTACTAAATATGAAAATAATTATTTTTAAAAATAACTAATAATATTTTTTCTTTCAGATCGGTGTTTCCTATAAAATATTAATAATTATAAAAACATATGTTCAATAAATGTGTATTACAAAAATATGTTGTTTTCTTATAAATACAATCTTGAATAACCTGAACAGAAAATTATTATTCTCTTACACGCTATTGCATACTAATTGAGCATTATCCTACATTCAACAACTTTACCGTTATTCCATAAAAAGTGAAATTACATATATCCATCGACACATATACATTACATATATCCATCCACAAGTTAAGACTCGCTTTTAATCTTGTTATTCGCTTTATTAATATTATCAAGAAATATTAATTTTCTGTTTTTTATTACATTTTTAAAAATTTGTCACCAAATATACTATTGTTGATGAAGGAAAAATAATCAAAAAGTTCCTTAAAAATATTTAAGTTAAAATAAATAATTAACACTTTTAAATAAAAGTCCAAATATAAAATTTTGCACTAAAAACTTTGTAAGAGAATATTGCTTAAAGCATGCTATAGATATTGTTTTAGGTAGAAAAATAACTAATTATAAATAATGGACCGAATTTAAATTTTACACTCCAAAAAATATGTAAAAAAATATTTATTAAAGCAGACTATAGATATTGTTTGGGTAAATTTTTTTTAAAGAAATAAAACATTAAATTGTTTTCGTTGAATGTTTATTTTTTCATATAATTTGAAAATATTACCTACATTAAAAACATTTTTTTTATGATGATCCAAAACCCTTTGTGCCTCGAACAGTTTCTATTGACATATCGGTACATTCAATCAGCGAGGGATACTCAATTTTATGACAAATCATCTGTGCTATTCGGTCCCCCCGTTTAATTTCAAACTTTTTATTACTAATATTAAATAATAAAATTTTAACTTCGCCCCGATAGTCTTCATCAATAACACCAGCTGGAATGAAGAGAAAACAAAAAAATAAATAATGAATATTTTATTAGTGGCAAAGTTTACCTCCACAAAGAATGGAATAGTTCAAAGCCAAACTTGACCGAGCTTCAATCTTCAAAAAAGATCCTCCAGGAATTTCCACTTGCAGTCCCGTATTTATCAATTTTTTATGTTTTAATAAAAAGATAAGTTCAATTTATACTATATAGAATACGCAAAAAACACCTTCTGAAATACATTCCGTTTAAAAATATTATGTATGAAATGAACTTTGAAGACAGGCCGGAGTGGTTTCCATCCCATCCAAAAAAACTTTGTCCGAGTCCAAACAGAGTAAGTTAAGTTTGATTGATAAAAATATTTAAAATAAAGTATTCATAATTAATAAATTTTAGGTTCACATCAGATATCAACTTTCAGCCAAGTCAGTAGTGCAGGTTCTAGTTCTAGTTCCGTCATGAATACTCCAACTACCAGTTTTACCTCGAATCTGAATTTTCTCTACAAAAAACAATAAAATCTTTCGCAATACCATTAATGAACGAAACCGAAAAAAGCAAATTTAACGAAAATTTGGCCATGTTCTTTTATAAAACAGGAACTCTTTATAAGAGTAGAAGATGAACATCTTGCAAAGGCATTTAATATATGCAGGCCAGGTATACTTTCCTTATTTTTAGGAGAAAGAATAGTAATTAATATTTTTAACTATATTTTACATAGGTACTACTCTTCCATCAAGGAGGCAATTTGCCACTAATCTGTTAGATAAGTGTTATCAAAACATTAAAAAACAGGTTAATCAATTGTTGCCTCAAAACCTTTGCATTGTTAGTGATGCCTGAACTAACATAAAAGATAAAATGTTTGCAATCTAAATATATAAGAGCGTTTCATTGGCAAATCAATAAACTTAAGGAATTAAAAGAATATAAAAATTAATGAAAAAAGTCTATATAAACATGTTGCCCAAAATGCTTCAGTTTTGAGATACAGGGTGTCAAAGTTTTGTTTTTTTCGCTTAGTTTCCTAAATAGTTATTTTGATTTTTGAACGGAAATTGGATGGATTTTTTGACATTTTTACTTAAAAAGGTGTTCTTGTTAGTAGTCGCTAGCAGCAACAGTTTTTGAGAAATTTGGATTAATAATCAAGGCAGAATGTACAAAAAATATTTTCAAGTTTAAATCTTAAGGTAGTATTTCAATTTAATCTTGCTATTTTTTATAATGTTTTATGCATAAATATTTGCTTAGATTTAGATTTGGAAAAACATACTACATTTTCCAAATTTCTCAAAAACGGTTGCTCCAGCGACTACTAACAACCTTTACTTACTACCTTTTTTACCTAAAAATGTTTAGAAAATCATTTTCTTCTTGAAATATTATACAAGGTCATGCAAAAAAGTTACGAGCCTTATATTTCATATTCCATTGATTCCTCAAGTTTGATTGTAAATAAGTAATAATATTTTTTTTAATTAAGCACCTATAATTGCAATTTTTAGGGGAACCAATTGTAAATTACATGGCGGTAGCTCCAACTGCATCTTTTCTTTGGCATCAGTCCACACAGGTAGTCAGGCAGACACGGCACAGTGGCTTGCAGATGACATCAGTCGGTTGATTGATTCCATCCCAGCACCCACTGTGGTGTCAGGCGCAGTAACGGACAATACTGCCGCCAATAAATTGGCGTGGTATATTTTGGAAAAAAAAACCACAAAAATTTTTCCTCGGCTGTGTATGCCATTGCCTAAATTTACTAGTCAAAGACATCTTTGGCGATGAAGGGAAAAATAAAAGGTAAGTTTAAGAAATCCTTTTAGCATTTTTTAAGCCTAAATTCTTGTTATATATGTCGGATAGCACCAGCAACACACTTGGAGCGATTTCTGCATTTGCGGTGGAATGCAAAAATATTGTTGTCTCGTTTAAAAACCACCACATAATGAATAACCTACTAAAAACCGCACAAAAGGAAAAGCATGTCCGTGGGGTAAGTAGTGCCTGTATTCATTTTAATTAATGATACCACAAAACAATCCTATTTTTACGGCTAGTACAACCAGGAAAAACAAGATGGGGCACTCTGTACGGATGTCTGGAATCGATATTAGCCTCAGAAGACATTTTACACAGCATTGTGCATTCAAGAGATTCTTTGGATGTTGCAAAAAATCAAAGAGATGTCCGAGAAGCAATCAAAAATAGCACAGCGATGGCCAATTTTGTCTTTAATTTACAAAAATCCATTTTTATTTTAAAGGATATTGAAAAGCTAACGATAAAGTTTCAAGAGGACAGCGTCTCCCTGTATATTTTAGTGGTGATGCAGCGTCTAAATTTTTAGAAAAGGAGGAAATAGAAATTATTAAAAATAAAATAAAGGTAGTACAATTTTTTTACCACTGATGCCATAAAACATCAAGCTGTTATTATACTTCAGGAGCGATTCCAGTTCATTTATGAACTGGAATCGCAGATCATTATGAACTGGAAGGTGTTGGGTATTTCTTAGACCCCAGATATGCTGGTGAAGGTATGGATAGAACCTTAAGGGATGAATTGGAAGAGTTTATTATGAAATTTAATTATGAGGATGAGCCCACTGAAGACCATAAAGAAGCTGTCTTCCGACAACTGACAGATTTTCAATTGTGGGTGCAAAATCAGAAACAACACAACACTTTTAGGTATGGCAGATTGCTCGTCAAATAATAAAATTGTTTCTTGTTGTAATATTTTGTCTTTAATTTTTATCTCATCTCCACTACTAATGTGATATACTCATAAGTTAAAAACAACGATTAAAACAATATAGTTTAGGACTTTCTTAATCTGCCCCTTCTATATAGAATCCTGGATACGCCCTTGCAAATGAGTACACACGAAACAAGTTCGCAATATATAACCCAAAATTCTAGATGCGGTGGAAATAAATCCTGGTACCAGCATAAGAAGATTGGCTTCTCGATTATACCTTCCGATCAGTTGTTCAGCGAACAATACGTGATCAAGGTCTCTGCCCGTACCACGTACAGAAGGTACAAGCGCTTTAAAAAGAGGATTTGCCAAAAAGAGTTTAGTTTTGTGAGTGCTACCAAAGGAAATACCAGGAAGACGATCTTTTCGCTAATTTTGTGCTGTGGACGAAGAAGGATTTACACGCGAAAGGAATTTTAACTCCCGCAATGTTGCGTAGTTTTAGTTGAAGTACCTTAAAAAACACATAAAAAAGCACATAAAGCTCCCAAAGTCGCGACATAAAAAACAAAATTGAGACATAAAAAACACTTCAAGAGAACCATGGACAACTGGTTCACATCAGTCCCACTGGTAAAAGAATATAAATTGACAGTGATCGGCACAGTAAGGTCTCAAACGCACTGACAAGACGGCCAGGTCGCTGCTATTTCTAATAATAAAACCATAAAATCAAATGGCATAACGCGCACTAACGACCACGACCAAGCCTGCACTAAAATATTATTATTTTCTGCCGCTTGTTGCCGCTTTTCTTCCAAATTAATAATTTTTCAGATGCAATCCCTCAAATTCAACGCAGTAGTCTCCTATATCATTAGATATTTAATTTTAAAAACTGTATGTTTTTTAAACTTAATTATTCTTTATTCATGCGAAAATTGGGATAATTTGTAACCTTTGGAGATACGTGTTATTGAAACATTTTTATTTCATTCGTGGGAGATACGTGTCTTTGATTGTTTATCAAAATTATTTTGTAAACACACCTTTACTTCAAGTTAATTAATACAATTTGTACGTCTTAAAAATAAGAGTCCGCCAAAACATTCGTCACTAGCCGACGCCGATCGATTGCTTCTCTCGTCAGCTCACTCCTATCCCACCATCGCACATAGGAGTATTTTCACTAAAAACCTGGCCAAAAGTCGATTTTTATGACTTTTATTGGTAAACTTAATTTAGAAAAATAATTTCTATTAGGCTCAGATAAATTTTCTTTAAGGCAAAGACTATAGTTTTGAAATTTTGTTTTCATTATTTCTGTAATTTAGTTTCTATAATTTCAGTACAACAGCAATTTTTGTTTTTATGTTATAGAGGGTGTTTGTTTATCGGTTTAGAACTCAGAGATAAATAACTTGATACTTCTGACTACATAGTTTATTGAAATTTTGATTTTGATATAAATATACAGGTAAGGTTATATTTTGAATATACAGAGTGGACATAATTTTAGTATACAGGGTAGCGTTGTTAGTACTTCGTAAAATTTTGGAATTTGTTTTGAACATTTGAGTCTTTTTTGGTTTTGACATTGAACATAATTTCTTTCTGATAGATTGCGTCGAGTCATAACAGCTTTTTGTTAAAATTAGTAAATTTTTCTGAATAATTTAGTCTTTAATATCTTATAGAACTGAATTACAATGGAGAAAGAATCTTTTAAAGTTAATTATTTACGACAAGTAGAATTAGATTATGAACTTCTTATTAGGGGTATTAAGACATCTAAAAATTTTGAGAGTAAACGTAAAATTTTTTCAGGTCTTTTAAGTAGAGAAATTAATAACCCTTTTTGTTTAGTTAATATGGAAAATTATCCTCTTTCTTTTTGATCAAAAGAAATTTTCGAAATTAAAAGCAACTTTAGATTCAATTTCTTTGTCAGTTTCAAATTCGAGGGTGGAGTAAATGATTCAATGTTTAAAGTTATAAAATCTCGTCTTGTACATTTGGCTGGTAGAATTAGAAGAATAATTTTAGATGAAAATCGTGCTGATGCAGAGACTATTCAAACTGATGTTTATACTAGTTGTTATCAACTTGAAGCTGACTTATTTTCAAAAATTTCTGACACAAATGAAATTTTAAATGTTAGTTCTGTTCGGTTATTAATGTACCGCCTCCTATTGTGACTTATGTTGCTAAACCTTGTCCAGTGTCAGACTGGCCTATTAAATTTAATGGTAATCCTCAAGATTTATTTTCATTTTTAGAAACTGTTACTGAGCTTTCTGAATCACGTAAAGTTAGTGAACAAGATTTATTTTCTTCCGCAGTAGAACTTTTTACCGGGAATGCTTTTATTTGGTACAGAAGTATTAAACAACATGTTACAGATTGGAAATCTCTTGTAGAAAGATTAAAGAAAGACTTTTTGCCACCAGATAATGATGACAATATTTGGTCGCAAATTAAATCTTATAAACAACGAAAAAATGAAAGTATTTTAATTTTTATAGCAACTTTAGAGAATCTTTTTAGTAGATTAAGTAAATGCCCTAGTGAGGTTAATAAGATTAAAATTATTAGACAAAATTTACTTCCTGAATACATTACTCAGTTAGCTTTAGTTGATGTTTTATCTGTGTCTGAACTCTCTAATTTGTGTAGAAAATTAGAAAATGCTAAACATCAGAATGAAAAACGATCTAGAAGTTTAAATGTTTCTCAATTGAATACCACTCCTGATTCTAGCTCGTCTGATTCTCATCGAGTACAGTTTTGTAAAAAGTCTAAGAATGTCAATGCTCAAAACAAAAATAAAAATACTACTGTTCGGTCTGCTAGTTATTCTGTAGCGTCGTCGTCTTCTGACCCTGATATGGTAAATACTTCTTCGAGTATGCCCAGATCTGTAGAAAATTCAGGTAAGGAAGCAACCTCGCGTTTAGTTTGTTGGAATTGTTCTGGTCCAAATCATACATTTCATGATTGTCGACAGAAACGTAAGGTTTTTTGTTTTAAATGTGGTAATTTAGGTGTTAAGTCACCGGCGTGTCCCAAATGTTCAAAAATACTAATTGGACGAACTCGTGTTTCTGGTCGTGCAGTTCAAAAATTCAAACCCAGAAATTTATTTTCAGAATCTGATTGGAAGAAGTGGTTATTATGTGTTAAGAATTTTTATAGATCCACCACTACCAATCATAAAGTTTCTCCTCTTTTTTGTCCAAAGGTTTCTGATAACAGACCTTATATTTTAGTAGAAATTCTAGGCGTTGAAATTTGTGGTCTTTTAGATTTTGGAAGTACATCTACAGTTATTGGAGCTGCTGGTATTCCTGTTATTGAGAATCTAAATTTGGTTATTAGGGAACCAACTCTTTTATCAATTAGTACTGCAGACAATACCGAAAAGAAAATAGTTGGTGTAGTCGATCTACCTTTAGTCGTTGATGGTTCATGTCAAGTTATAAGTGCTATTGTAGTACCTTCATTGCCTCATAGTTTTATTTTTGGTTGTGATTTTATCTTGCGGTTTGATCTTATGGAAGATCTTAAGAAAAATTGGTGGGAAGTCAATTCTAGATCTCAGCCTAAGTTTTCTTCATTTCCTTATAACACCCGTGCTGTAAATACGTTGTGTACCCTTGATGATTTAACACCAAATCAGAGAAAACAAGCTGAACTTCTTATTAACTCTTTTGACAGTATCAATAGTGACCATGGTCTTGGTCGTACAGATAAAATTACTATGTCGATTGACACTGGTGATGCCAAACCATTTCGTCAAAAACCTTTTTTAATGTCCCCTTATATGTCAAAAATCTTGAATGAGGAATTAAATGATATGCTTAAACTTAATGTCGTGGAACCTTCTAATAGTCCTTGGTGTTCTCCAGTGCTTTTAGTTAAAAAACCAACTGGTGAATTTCGTTTTTGTTTTGATGGTCGATCTTTAAATCAGGTTACAAAGTATGACTCTTACCCTATGCCAAATATAGATAGAATTTTAAACTCTCTTCGTGGAGCTACGTATATTTCTAGTATAGATTTGCGTAAAAGTTTCTGGCAGATTCCATTGTCCGAGGATTCCAAACCAAAAACTGCTTTCAGTATAGTTGGTAGAGGTCAATTTCAATTTAATACAGTGCCATTTGGATTGTGTAATGCCGCTCAGACACAACAAAGACTTGTTGATGCTATTTTTGGACCACGTTATGAACCACACATTTTTTGCTATTTAGATGATATAATCATATGTTCACCTAGTTTTGAGGAACATATTAAATTGCTTTCTGAAGTTAGAGATAAGTTAAAAGATGCTAATCTAACTATAAATATAAAAAAGTGTGAATTTTTTAAAAAATCTTTAAAATTTCTTGGATATATTGTTGGCTCTAATTCATTAAGAACTGATCCAGAAAAAGTTTCAGCCATGTTAAACTTTCCTCGCCCTACCACTACGACTGAAATAAAACGATTTATAGGTTTGTGTAGTTGGTATCGTCGTTTTATAAGAAATTTTTCAACTTTAGTTTCACCCATTAATGATTTGTTAAAAGGTAAAAAGAAAGGTCAAGGAGTTCAGTGGAATCCTGCCGCTGAAGATTCTTTTTTGAAAATTAAACAACTTCTTGTTTCTGCTCCAATTTTGTCCCAACCGGATTTTTCTAAACCTTTTATTATAGAAACAGATGCATCCAACACCGGTCTTGGTGGAGTGCTTATACAGAAAATTAATGACGAAGATCGTGTAATTTCTTATGCTAGTAGATCTCTTACTAGATCCGAGCGCAATTATAGTGTAACTGAGCGAGAGTGCTTAGCTGTTATTTTTAGTTTGGAAAAATTTCGTCCGTGGATTGATGGAGTACGTTTTACCGTTTGTACAGATCATTACTCTCTTTTGTGGCTTAATAAATTACAGAATCCTACTGGTCGTCTTGCTAGATGGTCTGTTAGACTTAGACAGTTTACGTTTGATTTAGTTCATCGTAAAGGTTCAAATAATGTAGTTCCAGATTTTCTTAGTAGAATACCTAGTGATGATTCTCCTTCAGATATTTCAGATAATGATTCTTTTGTATGTCCGCAAATTTCCGTTTTGAATATAGATTTAGACCATACTGACGCATGGTATGAGACTATGAAGCAAAAGATTTTAGCTTCACCTGGTTCATTTCCACAGTGGAAAGTTGAAGATGGTTTTCTTTTTAAGTTTATTCCGGTACAGTTACCATTTTCATCAAATCTTCAAGAATGGAAGCAGGTTGTTCCACGTCCTCAACGTCGTAATATTATCGAATCATGTCATAATCCGCCAACTTGTTCGCATTTGGGTTTTTATAAGACTTTATCGAGACTTCAAGAACAATTTTATTGGCCCAAGATGAGAGCCGATGTTCTTAAATTTGTTAGGAGTTGTCGTGTTTGCGGAGCTCAAAAATCTTCTAATACTATGCCGTTAGGTAAGATGGGAAAAGAAAAGCAAGTTAATATGCCTTTTCAGACAATCGCTTTAGATCTTATGGGTCCTTTTCCTAGATCAAAAAAGGGTCATAAGTGGCTTTTAGTTGTTGGCGATTGGTTTTCGAAGTATGTTCTTCTGTGTCCGTTGCGTTCATCAAAATCTCCCTATATTGTGAAGTATCTTGAGAATGAAGTTTTTCTTACCTATGGAGTACCTCAACATATAATTTGTGACAATGGTCCTCAATTTGTTGCGAAAGAATTTAGAGATTTAGCTAAGAAATACCAAGTTCAGAAGATCTGGTATAATGCTGTGTATTCTCCTCAATGTAACTTTGTTGAGCGAATGAATAAAACTGTAGGAACAGCTATTAGAACTTATGTTAAACAGCATACAGATTGGGATGTTCAGCTCTCTAATATTCAGTTTGCTTTAAATACTTCTAAACATGAGGTCACAGGTTTTTCTCCTTCATTTTTAGTTTTTGGTAGACATATTCCCATCTCTGGTAAGTATTATGGTCAAGTTAAATTTTCTGAAGATTTTGAAATTATGCCTGGCGATCGCAACTCTTACGCTTCTGAACTCAAAAATCTTTATAGTGTCTTTAGCGAAGTCCGTAAGAAACTTCATGCTGCTTATGAAAGAAACTCGAAGTCTTATAATTTGCGTAGGCGTGATTTATCTTTTCAGGTTGGTGATTTGGTTTGGAGACGTAATAAGGTCTTATCAAATGCTGGTATTAACTTTTCAGCCAAGTTAGCTCCTCGTTTTATTTTATCTTCAGTGCGAAAGAAAATCTCGAATTTAGTTTATGTTTTAGTAGACGAGAATGGTACTAACGCAGGCCGCTGGCATATAAAAGATCTTAAACCATACCAAGGTCACACGATTGACGACGATGATACAGAAAATGTCTCTACTACGTCACAGTAATTCAAATAATCTATTATGTCCGATTCCTTTTTAGGGTTTAGTCTAACGGATACATAGATTATATTTTAGTTTTCTTTTTAGTTCAGATTAAACAGTTATACAACATTTGCTTCTAGTTTTTTTACGGGTTGTCGCGAATCAGTATAACTATATTGTCATTTATTTTTTTGCGTACCTATATTTTTGATGTTATAGTATTTCTATTTGGAAATGCGAGCATATGACAGTATTTTTTTTTTCTTCGAGTATTCTACAGATTACCTAATTTTGAGTAAATATTTTGTGGGATGGTAATTCTGTTGATCACTCATATAGTTTTATGTCATTTGCTCTATTCTTTGTTATTCAGTTCACAAGAATCTGAAATGTAAGAGATTCTTGTATTTTGTGTATTCTGAGAACACAACTTCGTGAAAAAACGAAAAGTTGTTATGATTTTGATTGCAACCTAGAAGTGAGACGTAGCTAACCTCATGACTTCGTAAGTTTTACTGCGTTTTGGATATTATTGTGACCTTCTTTCCATATTTACAATAGCGTTTCATAGGCTGGAATCCTATGTTACGGATATTTTGGGTCATTAGTGACAATGTTTTCTTTCTCTTTCTTCGTGTCTTTCTATTGTGTTTTCTATTGTAATTTTCCTTCTTTTTCTCATACAGGTGAGTTACCTTGAATGGTTAACCGGTGAGCACACAGGTTGTGGCGAGGGTAGTTTGTCTTGATCACGCCAAACTAACCTCTTACAGTGATCCGTAGCATGGCTTTTGTTGAGGTTCTTTTGTTGTTTGTTTGTTCTCTGCTTCCTTGGGTGTGAGGGGTCGCATGAATGATTACACGCGATTTGTGAATCATTTCGTTGCCTCATACTAGGTGGGTTGAGTGCAGGCGATCAGCGGGGGAATTTCTTCAGAAACATCTGCGCTTCCATGGGATTCTTTTTTCTTTTCCTATCCCATACCTTTTTAGTCTTAAGTTTAGTTTTAGTTTATCATATATTTTTTATATGATTTTGTTTTTTTGGATTATGTGGTGATTTTGACTTTCCCGATTGTGTAACCTCCCCTGATTTGACATACCGATTGCGACTTACCAATTGTGACTCCTTTATGGACGTGTGATACACGAAGCTATCATCCACCAAATTTAATTTCAAAAATCTAAAAACATGTACCAATTTAATTTAGTTTTCCTTAGTGTTGTTTGGGCGAAAGTCCTCTTTGAGGGCCTTTCTTTTTTTTGGAGGGGGGCAGTGTAGCATTTTTTATTTCCTTTAATAAAATTGAATTTAAAAATCTATTTTTATTTAAATTTCTTAGTATTGGCGCCATCTATTTGCTAGATGCCAAAGATACCAAACTCCATTTGTTACAGTTTACTTGCCTCGATATTTAATTTTTATTAGCGCATCTATTCGCTAGATGTCAAACTTCATTTCTTACAGTTTACTTGTCTTGTTTATTAGCGCCATCTATTCGCTATATGCCAAACTTCCTTAATTGCATTTCCCTTGTCCCGATATTTAATTTTTATTAGCGCATCTATTCGCTAGATGTCAAACTTCATTTATGACAGTTGGGTTTTCGTTTCTGAAACTGAGAAGAAGGTCTTTCTTTCTGGGAATTTGGATCTGAAAAAGACGCGTGTGTCGGCGTCCGACAAATTTTCCAGTGAAAAGCACTCTGAATCCACTTGTCGGTTTCGATTGCATGGGTATCCGATTTGGAGATTTGAAAACCTTGTAAAGTATGCAATCCAGAGTATAGATCGTATTTGTTTGGTTTCTTCTTGGAATGATCACCGTAAGTTTATCCGCCATTTTATATAGCCCTATCTAATTAAATTCTATTTCAGTTATTTCCGTTTGTTATTTCGTTTATTTGAGTATTTAATTACTGGTTTTGATCGGCATATGGTTTGAATATATTTATGTAAAGCTGATTTTCAGACCGTAAGTTGTTTTTTTTTATTGAGTATCTGTCCTGAGAACTATTTTTTATTTATAACGTAATTACCACATGGTACTCAGTAACTACCACATGGTACTCAGTAACTACCACATGGTACTCAGTAACTATCACATGGTACTCAGTAACTACCACATGGTACTCAGTAACTACCACCTGGTACTCAGTAATTACCACATGGTATGCAGTAATAATGCAGTAATTATTGTATGTTTCACCCACTTGCATTTTGTATGGACCTATGCAGACCTTAAGACAATGTTCCTGACATTACAATCGTTCTTTTGGCTGATATCGAAGACTTCTCCTGCCATAGTCATCTGCATCCACTTCTGTTAGTCTGGAGAATACCTACCTACCTGTTTACATCATAAGAAACTATATACAGATAAGTCTTAAGTTTGATACACAAGGTACGCTTTTATTTTATAATTTTTGAGACAACAGATTTAATAACCTGGTAAATTATCACTATTTATCCCACATATTGTAGTCAAAATTATTTTTATTTAACGTTATAATTTGATTCGTACAGTATACTCTTGCTTAGCTATGATATTTTATATGAAAATTATTAACACGTATTCATTTTAAAGGTTTTTGTACACGACATGTTTCGAAACATCATCGTATTGAGACATACATAAATTTCACCTGTTTTTATTAAGTAGCTTACTTAGTTCAAAGAATACAGTTACTAAATTCGAATCTAATTAAAATAACTTGCGGTTTTATTGGGATCACTGTGACTAATTCATGATACTTGTGTTCGTTTTCAATAAATGTTTAATGTAGGATAGTTATTTCTGACTTTTATTCCTGATAAACATAATAGACCCTTAATGCTGTTGATTACTTTATCTTAGCTATATTGTGATATCGTATTTTTCTTTTTGGTTTCTTACTTTACCACTCTCATAAACAAAGTAAGTGGCGCCCTTTTCACTGTCTTTGACCATACCTATTTGAATTCTTAACATCGATATTAAAATCTCTGCAGCCTATATATTATCATTTTTTATTTTAATATTTAACAACATTAGAAAGTCATTGTGAGTCAGAAGCCTTACCTACGAACCCAGCTTTCCTCTAACCCTGAGCAACGGATTCTTTTTTCATTCTATTTGGGTAACGACAGAAAAGTCGTCACAATGTTCAGATATGATATCGTCAAAAATAACAATTGAGTTATTTTTTATGTCATTTGGAAATAATAAATACTTATACGTGGTGATAGAAGTAAAAACCCCTTAGACGAGGCCTATAAGCAGCACGATATTGCCTATTCTTTGTCTTCGGATTTGAAGGCGAGACATCAGGCCGACAGGATATTAGCGAACAAGGCAATAGATCGATTTAAGTCATCAAACGCTTCTTTGGGCGAAAAGGTCCTTGCTCTTGGAGTGGCGGGAATAATGAAGGCAAAGTCAAAATTAGGAATAGGTACTATTCGAAAGAGACCTAGAAAAAAACCCAGTAGCAACAACAAGAAATTGGGAAAAGGAATATATTTTGCAGCAGCTGTGAGAAGAGGTTGTAAGGGTATAGCCGGTAAAAAATATAAAAGTATTAACAATGCAATTAATGATGCCCTAGTGTCGATTAAAAAGGGCAACGTAGCTGTACACAAACCACGCTCCCGAATTATACCTGTACCGAAAAAAACCGGTGGAATATTACCTCTGATTCCATTGTTTGTTGGTTTGTCAGCTCTAGGAGCTCTAGGCAGTTCCGCTGCAACTATAGCTAATGCTATTAATGTGGCAAACAGTGCAAAAAATAAGTTAGCCGAGACGTTAGACGTTAACAGACACACCAGAGCGATGGAAACAATACCAATTGGAAAGGGTCTTTTTCTAGGTCCGTATAAAAAAGGGTGTGGTTTATATTTAAAACCATATTCAAAAAACCATTAGAAATGCTACCACGCAACAAACCTCTCTCCAATTTAGATTTGTATAAGTTTGTGAAATTGTTGAAAATACCAAATTTTCGAGGCATTTTTATGCGTGATAATTTACCAAAAAAAATTAAACAATATGAGCTGGGGATTATTAATTTAGATCATTCTGTTGGAGAGGGTACACATTGGACGGCCTACATAAAGCAGAATAAGAACATAGTTTATTTCGACAGTTTCGGAAATTTACCACCACCAATGGAACTTATAACATATTTTTTTAGCGATGGTAGCAAAAATAAAATTGTTTATAATCATGATAGGTATCAATCGTTTGATTCATTTAACTGTGGCCATCTTTGTTTGAAATTTCTTTATAATAATAAGTAACAAGTATTTTAAGATTATTGTCACAAATATTTCATAGAGTGAACAACAACAATAGGAATTGATGTCTTTTACAATTGCACTATCTGCACAGTCTGCAACACTAAAATCCGATTTTCATCCACCAATATACCTGGATCCAAATGCAGAGTATGTTATTAGTCTCACAAATTTTGAAACATTCAACGCTATTCCAAATATTGATGAGACAAATAATAAGATTTTCTACCGCAGTAGTGGTAAAGATTATATAACAATACCACCGTGCAGTTATGAAATTCAAGATTTAAATAGGTACCTTGAAGGGGAATTTAACGAAAAGTCTATTACATTCAAAGTATTTCCCAATAACAACACTTTAAAATCGGTCATTCGTTCGACCACAGATATAACATTTAAAGATAGGACAATTGGAAAAATTCTAGGCTTTAACAATGGAACTGTAAAGGGAGACGGTTTTGATCATATGTCCAATCCTGCCGAGATTATAAAAGTCAACTCTTTGTGTATCGATTGCAGTATTGCTGAAGGTTCCTACCTTAACGGAAGACCAGTACATATTACTTAGAATGAATTTAGAATGAGTGGGAGGGGGGTTAATCACTTCGACCTTACAGATCCATTGTGTCCCCCTTTCTTGAATCATAACTCATCATACAGTCCCAGGGCTTTGACAAAAGCCAGTATCTGGGACGGTTTTATAGAGGGTAGTTCTCCATCTCCAATATCAGTCGTACCAAAATTCATGGCACGAATGGTTGTCGTCTCGGCACTCAGTGATGAGGTGTACTGGTGTTTCCCCATCTTCCCC